CACAGTAAATCATTAATTTTTCTTTTGAATTTGTTTCATTATATGGTCACATTTAGAGCCACTAGCAGGTCTGCGTATTTCTTTTGAATGTGAAAATGCATTTGCTTTCATCTTGTCTAGTTTTTCTCTTCATGTTGTAACAAAAAAAAAAAATCACACCTTTTGTACATATGCCTGTAAATTTTTTTAAATACTTCAGCCTTTTCTTGGGGTGGGGGGAGGGATGGCAAAGAGACAAGATGAAGAAAAGCCTTACGTTTCACTTTCTTCATCGGTTGGATTGGATGCTTACAGGGTTTTTCTTGTAACATTTATAAGTGCTGCTTACATCACTGAACAACAACAAAAAATAATAATGGAGTAGCTGTTGCCCTTTTCTGGTTGTGTGTACAGTATGTGTGGAATAAAAAAGGGAAAATGTTTTCACAAACTGTTTTGTTTCGTAATTGAATTCAACAATACCGTAGCTACCCATATTGCACTGAGCTTGCCAGTGGTGACTGTCAGGAAAGTCCTATAATACAATTTGTTGGTTGTTGTTGCAGAAGACTGAACTGTTTTGGAATATTTAACAATAACATAAACAGAGTCAAGTGTTTTCAAATGTGGTTGTCTGGTTTTTATGGCCTTGCTGTGTACTTTTCCCTCTTGACAGTAAACTTCTGACTATGGCTTACAGTTTGACATTTAATTTATTAGCGCTGCTCTGCTCTCTTTCCTTGTAAGGAAAGACTTCATGTTGTTTATTGCCAGTTTTTTGTTTACTTTCCAGGTTTGTACTACGAGGTTTAATAAAAAAAAACAAAACTTTTTTGGACATTTTGTCTGTCTTCTGGAAAGTGAGTAAAGTAAGCTCCTTCGAGGAAAACTTCTTTCAGCAGATGCCTTGTTAAACAGTAAATATCTGACTGGACGTAGTGAGCTTCCTGGTGTTCGCTGCCCAGAGAGGGGTCAGGAAAGGCTCTGCCAGGTGCGAGGAGACAGAGCCCCTGAGGGACACCAGCCCCTTCCCAGCTGGCGAGCAGCAGGAGATGCCGCCTTGCCAACCGCTCGCTTCACTGGGCCGGGATCCACATCACGGCTCAGCCCTCTACTTACGCTGCCTCTGGTTACACTCCTTCCCACCGTGCGTGATGAGCCAGAGCCAGGAGCCTTCTCAAAGGGGAGCAGATCCCTGCAAACAGAGTGTGAGACTCGACAAGAAACAGGTGTTAGACATGGTCAGACCTCAAGCTTCAAGACAAAAAAGACTGCAGCAAAAACCAGCAGTAAGATGATGATGGCGACTGTAGGCCCTAAGGTTTATAAAATGTACGCGCTTAATTTATAATTCATTCCTGTTTATTTCCCTTAGATTGCTGGCTTGCAGCAGTGTAGTCAAACAGATGCTACCATGGAAAAGTAAATTACATTAGTGCTCCTTATAAAGAACCTTTTTTGGTTTTTTTCCCCCTGAATTAGTCTCCTCTGTTCCCTATCATGGATAACGTATTTGGGTAATCAAGTAAAAGACATGGTTGGGATGATAGAAATACTTTATTTTATCTCAAAGGAGGAGTAGGTTTTTACAACGCTAAAGATATCTGCTCCAGGAGGAGGGTAACATTTCAGTGTGCATCTCTCCTCCTTTTCCATTTCTTTTTTCCTTAACACCTATGATAACTAAGTTGCTCCTGAATAAGAAGGGTGAGAGAGTAGAGGCTGCTGCATTAGTAGACAAAGGCAGTAGGCAGACAGTAGGTAGTCAAGAGTAGAAAATAACTTTTCATTTTGGTTTGGATCCTAAATCTTCAGTTGCAGCAGGTGAAAACATGCAAGGAACAATTTGGGTTCAGTGTTACACACCAAGGGTTTCCGATCAGCCATTTAAAGGGTAGTGGTCAGAGTAACTTGTGCCTTTCCCCTTTAATTCTCTTATACATAGTATATACAACAGTTCTACTGCTCCCCGGAGCCCCGAGACTGCTGCTAAAGTGTGTGTGCTTGAGGCTTTTTTTTGTTTTAAAAACCAACCTCCACGCAACTGGCAATTTTGTAAAAAGGCGGTAGGACTAAGTAAAAACGTCTGGCTGTTACGCTTGGGTAGCAAATCATTACACAGGCAAGCTCTTCATTCACTTGTTCACTCATTCCAAAGTCATTCTTAAAGGATATGGTTTTGAGATTCAAATAGTTTGAGAGTCACTTTCATCGCTAACATCCGAAGCGCCCTTTCTTTCAGCTACGGCAGCGAGCGCGGTGTCCACTTGCACCTCCTCTTCGTCGGACTGAATGACCGGGGACTCCCCTTCGCTCGCGTCCTGGCTGGCAGAATCGGTGCAGGTCGACGACAGCGAGGACAGTTTCTGCCGTAATTCAGACTGGCTCGGCACCTGAAGGCTTATCTCAGTCACGTAGGTGTCGGAGTCGGGCCCTTGTAGTTGGAGAAAGAGCGACAAGAAGAATCAAGCTGTGGCTCAGCAGGTGAACAGAGAAATCAGTGTATTTAGTAACCGAGCTCAGCGCTGGTTCACGAGTGGCGTTCAGGCTCTTCTGCTGCTTTTGCCAAACACCACTAAACCAACCCTCCCGAACCACAAAGCTGTCTTTTGGCTTTTCGGAAGTTGGTCTCAAATACAAGCCCCAGGCTGGTTTTAATCTGTTCCTGATGGCATGGCTGTCTCTTGCTCATTCTAGTATTGCTAACAGTTGAGATCAAATAAGGTAAGATGTCAGGACTTAATACTCCTGCTTTAAAATCAAACAGAAAATCGAACTACTGCAAGCATCCAGTTTGCCTGTTGGCTGAGACCACTTAATCCTCCTGACTCTGATAAAGTGCATTCAGACCTCAGCATCTGCCGAGAGTCATCACCACCAACAGGAAAACCCTCCAGACAAACTGTCCAAAAGAATGACACGAATGAACCTGGGTGAAGTTAAAAACAACAACAAAAAAAACCAAACTGGGAGATAGGCAGTAACGGTCTCCAGTTTTGACTAAAAATCAAGATGCAGAAGCAAAACAAATTCTTGTGCACAGCATGAAGTAATTCCTCTGGTAAAGCTGTATCCTAGCTCAAGTTCACAGGAATGGGATTTTAAGACGCTGCTTCCTCTATGCAAAAAAGACTTCTTCTAAGCAAGTTCAGTGTAACTGAAGTGTTTGCTTGCAGCTTGAGGCTTCAGATTTCAAAATTACCTTAGATCCTCTTCTTCGGACACTTCCTGGCAGTAAATAAGAAGGAAAAATAGGGAAACACCTAAACAACCCTGCTACGTGATCCACCAAATAAAGCGCTTTTTTCCTTCCCTCCTGTACCTACCCAAGGGCTTTCCCATAGGCAGGGCACCCAGCTTCAGCACTGAGCAACCTCAGTGAGAAAATACTCTTAAAAATGCTGTGGGATTAATATAGAAAAAGGTTTCAAGAGCATCAGATGGAAATGAGCTGATCACTACACCCTAGCCCTGCTCAGGCTGTTTGCGGAGCAGTTCACACTACATTTGCCTTATGACAGGTCCCCATTGCCTTACCAAGTACCCCAGTTAAATCACGACAAGAAAGCAGTTTTGACGGCAGCTGGAGGCAACAGAAGCTTGTTGTACTGGACACTGCAGGGTGCACCAGCTGTTGCTCAGGCACATTTCTTGCCCTAACTAGCTGTCAACCTTCAGTTCTGGACCTAAGCTGGGACAGCAAGCAGCCCTGTACGTGGCGTCACTGTTTTAGCCTCTCTGGGACTTGGGAACTCCCTGGGAAACGTGCCCTCAGAGGTCTCCAGTTGAAACACAAGCTGATCAACGTCCGGGACAACTCTTGAAAGCCGAACGGCCTGCCTGGACTGGAAACACGCGGCCACTCCCGCCGCCTGTGCCAGTCAGAGCTGACGGTCCAGCAGGTCTGCTGCCTTGCTCCGCAGGTGGCACATCCGTCTACCCCGAGCGCAAGCGCTACGGGAAGGACGTTTCTAAAGACACCTGGCTCTGTGCTGTGCACACCTGCACGCATTAGATTAATCTGCACAACACACCCATGAGACGAGCTGTCTGCAGTGTCAGAGGCAAGTGAATTTTTCGGTTCAATTTACCAACAACCATGAAGTGTTGCAAACCCAGTGCCCACAAGCTGGCAATGTTTTATAGCAAGACAAATTTGAAAACGTTTTCATGCCTTGAGCCGATTTCCATTTTTACCAGTTACAAAAATAACTTACCTGCATTCCGTGGTGTTCAGCAAAACTGCGAAACAAGCCATGCCCTGACCAACCCAGTTCTCCACTGACAGCAAAATAAAGAGCTATCTTAACGCCATTTCACTTCCTGAGACTGAAGACTACCGTATATTTGGCTTGATACTAGGGTGGCAAGGTCCTTAAAGCAAACACAAAAATACCTTCCAGGTCAGAGGGAGACGAATCCTCTGGAACCACACCAGTAAGATTCACCAGACCGTTAGGCTGCAGTAGCAGTAACTGTAGTGTAGGATGCCTTGCTGCAAGCCTATCCAACCTCTGCATTAACGTTACAGCACTGGTACATTGTAGTACAGTGTACGTGCATAAATATAATAAATACATATACACTATCTATACATCCACACCATAATACTTGCAGTACAGCACAAAACAAATGATAGAGTTCTTTCAAAGGCTAGTAAGTTTTACATCTGTGTAGGAAAAAACCACCACACCTCGTAGTTTCTACACTTTCTTAGATGATCCA